AAGAGGTTTCTGTGAGCTCCTCACTATTAAAGCGAAATAAGAAACAGCCTCTAATTTTTTCTCGTAGCAGAAGTTCGTAAATATTTTCGAGGATAGGGTTTGCAAGATTCTCCCTGAATTCATCGAATCTGAATGGTGGGATTCACCGATCTCACTAGTTAACGATCTTTTGACGGTAAAATATCTTTGAATTTGCTTTGTGGTTATGAGTTTTTGAAAACGCTTTTTCTCGTACTTCTCGCTTTCTTCCGACCTTTTCAGAAAAGTTAGCTCAAAACAAAAATTAGCTCAACTCAGGAGTGTATACCTTGTAAAACCTGCAATGGAAGTGTTAGCCAAGGGTTGTCCAGCCAGCTGAGAATTAGGAATCGCCCCATATTTACGGCGAGGCAGATGTACATAACCTGTAAAACTTTATCATATAGCGAGAGAAACAGATGTAGCCATTAAAGGCATTATTCTAGCTCGAAGCGTTTGTAACTGATTACAGATAAAACAAAATTCTTTCGCGGTGGCCTTTCAATCAAATTTCTCTTGTGATGGAATATTTGAGAGTATTTGATTCTTAGTAATGCTGAGGCCTAGAAGCTTTCATACTTACGAGTACGAAAGCGAAAAGGATTTCAACAAAGCCGAAAGCAAGTAACCTCAACTTTGCATGAACCTCAGTCTTTCACACAGAATTCTGGTTCACATCCTACCGTCTAGTAACGAAAGCAACCAGAAATTTCTTCGTCTTAAGGCCTTCTTTCCCGGGAAATGTGAATTTCTTCAATATTCACCACACTCCGCCAGTTAGAGTTGGATCCTATCAAGCTCTTACATCTTTTCGATTGGACTCGAACCTCTTTCACAATCCAAAATTACGTGTCTCATGTGAAGTGAAACCTCTAACTGAAGGATATTTTGTTATTTTTTACAGCCGCAACCCCCAATGGTCACACTTTCTCATGAAAGTTCTTCAATCCCGTACTGATTCCACCTTAGCTTCGCTTTACTCAACAACACAAAACTCTTAATTTGACGATAACAAGTTTGTCATTATCACGGTAAATTTCGAGTATTCTGTACCTTCACATGGCCGTATTTGTTGATGATCTGAAATGTAAAGAAGTACGCCACAATTTCAGATGCGTGATTGACAACCGATAGAATACCAAACAGAACCGGTGAACCTCCAAGATCCTGAAATCTTCGTATTATAACAAATTTGCTTTAAATAAAGAACTATCTAGAACTTGTAAATAAATCAAACCTGCAAGTGCCAGTAGAGGAAAGAAAAGATGATGCCAGCCCCTAATCCCATTATCGTAACCGAAGTCAGATAGATAATAGCGTGAGCATTGGCAAGCGCTTTGAGTGCAATCCACAATGTACTCTCTGAAGCTGAATCGGCCTAAAATTATGCATTTTCTAAAATCTTTCAGAAAATGGCGAGATTACACCAAATTTCTTCCTAAACACGAGATTCCGAGGCCTCACACCGGAAATGCAAGGGATCATGATCGTTTTGAGCATACTTAGACCTTGCTCCTATCTATCATCTTCTTGAAGCTCGTAATTTTTAACGGGCCTTCATATCTTCTGTAGGTTTTGGGTTAAAGGCACAGTTCACGATAATTTTGGGTAATCCAGATTATGATGAAAAATGGAAGACAGACTGAAAATAGTGCGATGAAGGTGAAGAAACTGCGTGCTGTATCCAAAGTGAAAAAGGCTTCGAAAAACTCTTAAAGGTGGGGCTGGACGAGAATGAAACCAGAAGAATGAAGAAGAGTGGGGCGTCCGTACGAGCTAAACTGTGTGTTTCATAAAAAAAAAACCTAGTAACAGCAAACGAAGCTCACTTTTTGTGCCTCTAGGAATGGGACACTACTTAAGGGATCGCGGCAGCAAAAAGAAAAACAGAGGCAAAAAGAATGGGGGAAAAGCATCGCCTCATCACTCGGCAATTAGCTGATTGTGGTGGGTCCTAGAACGAATAATAGCAAGCTGTATTGTCGCGACACTCGTCTAACGTGACACTGATCGAGGGGCGGGAAAACGAACTACGGCAGCAACGGGGCTTCCACTATGTCCTAAGCGCCGACATTGTGGGAACGATAGGGTCCCTTCTACCACCCATGGGTAATCCTAAAGGAAAAACTCAGTAACCTGAACCGTGCCTTTGAAAAAACAGACGGCTGGGGCACAGTATGCTCGGATGGGATGCTCGATAATCACACTTTGAAAAGCTATTCATCCTATGCATGTACTGACATTGTATCAATGCCACACCGCCTTGACACATCGCTCGTCACCATTCCGACAGGAGTGAAAAACTACCCTTCCTCCACCATAAAGTACTGACTTACTCGCAATGAGTGCCTTATGCCGCCAGAACCTCAATTCAAAATGTACGCCTATCCTGTTCTACAAAGTTGGTTTTCTCTTCCATTTGAACCTACTCATCTGTTTGAAAGTGCCCTCCCTGACATGCGCTCCGCATACGACTTTAGAATAGTAGTGCCGTGTTGAAATCTGACCTACATAATATTATAATTTGCGTTGTTCAGCCAATGCACAAGTCAGTACATACCTCTACCTTCCCAGACGTGTCTATTACCAAGTAACCGACTCCGGAGAGATGGAAGGCTTGGTTGGCCAAGTTGGGAGTAGATTTGGGATTCGAACCTGTCACAATACGTGTGTGCTAGTGCTCCACTTGCCACTACCTCCGTACTGACCCTGAAGTACTGTCCAGTCTCCAATCGAGAACGTGGGGAAGGGTACGATAGGTTTATCTCTTTTTTTAGCTTTCTTATCACGAATCGTTTATGTACGCGAAAGTTTCTAATGATATGTAGTTGGAGAACAACCGAGGTTCTCAAATCTGACACTCTTGTAATATCCCTTTTGGGAACTCTAACTTTCTAGGTTACCCAAGAAGAGTGCCATATTGGACACTTACCTGCAACTGCCGAGCTCTTGCTTTTTCGGCTACTACGTGTGATACTTCAGATTCTCGAGTGTCCATCACCAGTCCACCCACTTCATCCGGACGCGCTGTTTCGTCTGTGAATTTGAATTGAGTAGCTGAAACACATTATGGTCTTTCAAGCGATTCATTTCATAGACTCTAAGACATTTTTTCCTTCCTTACAATAAGTATTATACAGAAAATGGTAGTATGCTCTGAGAGGAACAATGAAATCGAGCAACGCTCCTAGCGAAACTTGCTCATGGTGTAGTCCTTGGTGACTCAGGCCGCTTACTGTTTCATATGAGAGGCATCCAGTAAATCAGGACAATCAGTTTGAGCTTCTCCTTTTGACGCCAATTCACGCTTCTCCAGCCGCTTGCAACAGATCATACTCGTGTTGGCTAAGTCAGACTCTGATAGTTGAGGACGACTAATAAGCGTTGCAGTCATTTTGGGCTGTCCATTGATTTGGCTACACTAGTTTGACGAAAGTTGGGAACGCCGCAGTGACCAAATGAGCGCTGCTGATAGAAAGGGATACTGAGAATTAAGAGGATCAAAGCAGAGATCACAAACAAATGGTTTCTGTAATTCCCTTATAGAGTGAATTCGAGGCCCCTCCTAATACCACATGTGCCGATGTTAGGTCGAGAAACGTCTTGGATAGGGCACAATAAGGGGCCAGACATTGTACCCTGTGAATGCCACGCCCCCAGAGGGCACGTCTCAACAGGGTTGTCCAAGCTGCACTCTCAAGGGACTCCCATGTAGGAAGTTATAACAACTTGTCACGATCCACGGTGACAGTGGGAAGCAGTTATAAAAATTTTGACCTGATTAGCTCTTTCCTAATGTTCGCAACTGAAATTTCGTCCAAATACCCCTGTCATGCGACTTTCGTCATGGTGATCTCGTACAACCTCTATTTCCACTACTTTTGCAAATGTTTTTTTGCGAAGATCGGTTTCTCTCGTTTTCTTCACCACCCACACTTTGCATATCAACACTTCCGCTTTTCGGCATGTTTCTCGGAAAGCGAAGAATGGAAGCTAGACTTTCTTTGAACGGAAAGCATTAAGTCAAAACATTGCAGAATTGTTTCAGAGCCAATAGATTCCCACTTGTTACCGTAACCATACTATAATCGAAGTAGTTTTGTTCACCTCTGAGTGAAAAGAGACTTTCATCGAATTGCACCCACTGTTTTCCCTCAAGCTTCTCACTAAGATAGTAGGAAACCAGTCGAAAGCTAAATAGCGCGAGAAATTGCCCAGATGTTGGAATCGTTCTGAGAGTGGGTAAGGAGTGCTCGTTCAGAAAAGTTGTGTCATCACACGGGGAAGTGTTGCAGTGTCTGGAAGCGCTCTCCTGGCTCTACATGGTTTCAAAGAGCGAACCTTGCTCGCACAGACCATGAACTCCCAAGTCAGTTGTTTTTGGTCGAATGAATCATCCAGACAGTCCACTTGAGAATTCTTTCCTCGATTCCGTGATCGGGTACTGAGCCAACTTTGAACTACCCACTCTCAGTTGAAGAGCGAAAGAGGTTGATGGAGAATTGTGCATCGGTAGTGAAGTGAACGAGCAAATCCTCCAAAAAATACGGCTTCTCAAACGTAGCAAAAATAGAGATTGTATGAGACAACCATGATGGAAGGCATGGAATAGGAATTCGAACGAGTTTTCGGTCGTTGCAATTGCGTAAAGAGCTGAACACATCAAGTCATACACGCCCAGAACTGTACATATTCCTCTGCCGTCATGGGTCACGGCTAGTTCTTTGAGTTTCCAACATCCCTTGCGAATGGTAAAGCTAATGAAATGCGCTGAAACTCGCCTGTTTTTGGGTGTGGCATACGAACGGGACGACCTTCTAGCCCTACCTAGGTTGTTTTCAAATCTGACAGCCAGCTTACATATGATATAAGGGCAGGTCACAGATTTATACTAGAGGAGATACAAGAAAGTTTATTGTGACCGTGCCTCAACGTGACTCTGGCTCTAATATTTCATCAAAGGTATCCAACCATCAAAAAAAATGAGTAGAATTACTAAGAATATGTTAGGCAAAGAGCTCGGATCCGAATCAATAAATAGATTCAGAGAAATGAAAATGTTAAAAGAAACGCAGTCATTTTTGAAAGCTGTTTTTCTCAATAGCAATCTCAAGGAAAAAAGGAAGAGAAGTTAACAAATATTGGCATAACTTCAAAGATTACTTACCAAGAAGCATAGCGGCACACATGAATATGCTGCACATGACAAAGCAGAGGGTGTAGTTCTTTTCTGTGGTGTTATTGGTGGGACAGGGATGATTGCGGAACGTATCCGAATAGTCAAGCCCTGAATTTCTTGGTTAGAACAACATCAAATGGATTTACAGCTCATCATCAAGCCAATCTTCAATCACCAGCGGATTCTTCCCAGTTTTAGGAGATCCCGCTTGATTTAATTGAGGAAGGGGAAGATTATCGTGATGAAATGCATAATGAAAGTCATTGTATGCTGAGCTCCACAATGAGAAAAACGCTTACCAATTCCCATGACGAACATGGCAAGTCCCCAACCGACCGATGCAAACAGACGAATTTTTCCAAACTGAAATTATCTCTAAAATGATCTGAAAATGAATGTAGTGAGAAAAGGAAAGCAACTGCACTGAAAACTTTTCAAATTCGCTTCTTAGTAGTAACTGAGTATAAAAGGCATAGTTTATTGGAACAAACAATCAAACATCAATAAGATGGCATAAACATGAATCGAAACTAATTTGCCTAAACCATCTGCAGAAACTTTAGAATAGTTATTTATAGCATACAGCCCTCTTTGAGTGCGTGATAAGGGCAATCTTCAATTTTACATCAGACCCCATTTAGCCAATTTCCCATCTGGTTCCGTCACTTGTGATATACGGGAAGGAATACGAAAATTCATCTTATGGGGCATCCCGGAAACAGTTTTGTTTCGAGTCCGCGCCTCGAAGGTTGGCAAGGTCCTGGAGGACATTGTTTTTCTATTCGAAAGAGTTTAGGTGCGAACTAAACCCTAACTGCAGAAAAAGGCATTAAAGGCACAGTTCACGATAATTTTGAGGTACCCGGTTTTATCAG